ATCCTGCTCCTCCCCGGCTGCAGCAGCGTGAACGGAGCTGAGCCCATCTGTGATGGGCAACTGCAGGGCATGGGCAACCGTTAAGCCTAGTCAGCTGGTCCAGAGCATTTTCTCTCTTTGTAGCGTCGTGCTGGTGGCTGGACGCAGCCGTGCCGTGCTCCTCCATGAGCAGTATGAGCTCATGGCTGCTGGAACATCTCCCTCTCTCCGCAGCTACCGGGCTGATGATCGGCTGCCTGATCTACCCCGACGGCTGGGACTCGAGCGAGGTGAAGCGCATGTGCGGGGACAAGACGGACAAGTACACGCTGGGCGCCTGCACCGTGCGCTGGGCGTACATCCTCTGCATCATCGGCATCCTCGACGCTCTCATCCTCTCCTTCCTGGCCTTCGTGCTGGGCAACCGGCAGGACAACCTCCTCCCGTCTGATTTTAAAGTGGAAAATAAAGGTAAAAGCAGCCGGGGCTGAGCTTTGAGCTCCCGTCCCACAAGGGATCACTATTTTTTGGTGACTTCTTCCAGTGGGAGAAGCAGGAGAGCCATGATCATCACGCTGCAGGTAAAAACACACCTGCATCTTCATCATTATTCCCACACCTCATTAACACAGTAATTATCTTGTTTTACAGAAGAGGGCAATGACTGACAGCTGATCAGCACGTAAGTGATTTTTAATTTCTTCCGAGCACACATAATGCCACTGCTGTTATTTTGAGGATGACTAAAGGATTGACAACTGCATGGGCTTTTGGTGCTATGGTCACACTGGTTTCAGTTGTGGTTACATGGGAAGTAGTCTTTGCTTTGCCTCCTGAAACCAGGAGAATGTAACTCTTGCCAAGTGACCAAAAAAAAAATAACCCAGCCAACCTTAAAATTTGAAGCCATGCTCCTTTCAGCGACAACTGACCTTTTCTTTCTCTTCCCAGGGACACCGAGAACTCTTCTTCCATCAGCCTTTTCTTTAAAGTGACTTTTCCAGCAGCTTTAAACTTAGCAACTTGGTGGATTTTCTACAGCTGCTCTTCCCACCTAAGGGCCACTATGGACTCACCGCTCTCGTGGAGTTTGTTTGATGGGAAGAGCCCAAACCAGCACAGGTTTTATTTGAGTGCATCAGCAAACCCAGGGAAAAGGGAAGGGATGGCGATTTGCTGCTTCCTGGGGTTTGTACATCTTCTTTCAAGGAAATTACTTCTGAATAAAAAAAGAAGTTATCTTTTTGGATTTTGTGCTGGTCTCCCTGGGGCAAGGGGAGTCCTCTGTGTCCCACGTTGCCCTTGTCCTTGAAAAAACACAACACAGCCAACTCCTAGCGAAGCCATGAATCAGCTTCCCCACTCTGGGCACCAATAACCAGACAGTTAAAAAAAGACACTTTTCTGGGGGGGAAAAAAAAAAGCGAACAAACAAAAAATAATCTGCTGGGCTGCAGCAGGCCTGGGACAATTCCTGCAAACCACAGCAGATGGTGCCAGTCAGCACGGACTCACTGCCCCACCTCACCTGCCCATTAATCCCATTAATCCATCGTTTCTCATCCCATCCAATGCCCCCAGCGACAGCCTTCGGCACAGTCCGTTTGTGCAAGTGGCACACCGTCCTGTCCAGCTCTTACCTGGCTGGAACCCCAAATTAGCCTGGATTAGGGTTTTCATTCCTACTTGCTGTAATTTGTTGGTTCCTGCAGTAGCCAAATCGATTCAGTTGTAACCAGCACCTTCTAGTTTCATGCTTCCCTCTAAAAAAGTCTGTGGGAAGGTTTTGTTAAGACTCTTTGCGAGCAAAGAGAGCAGAGAGATGACAGACTTGGAGGAAAACATTTTAGAACAGAAAAATTCCAGCAGTTGTCCAGCTATGGACTACCTTTCTCCTCTTTTTAAAACATATCACAATACCAGCAACAAAATCTTCACCTGCACCATCTCCCTGCATCTCATTCTGGAAATCTTAAGTGCTCACTAGCAAAGAAAATTCAATCAATGGGCCACTAGCTCAGAAAGAACAGACTTACAGAGGGAACCATAGGAGGAATAGGGCTCAGTTATTAAATAATCTGTTTATTGTACGGCTTTCACAAAGAAAAAAAGACAAAGCACCGAAGTAGAAAGAATAAAAATGTATTTTCCTTCAGGTTTTAGACCAACACAGCAAGTACAAATCCTTTAGTGTGAGCACTTTACGGCAATTTGGAAATTTAAACCCCAAGTGAAGGAGCACACGGTACAAGACTGAATCCTGACAGCTGCTTCTGCAGGTCTTCAACTCACAAGCTGGCTCTAGCCTGGGCTATCATGGTAAAAACCCTCCTCCTCCAGGCAGGGGTGCCAGAGGGAGAAGGAGCTCTCCATCGAAGCGTGCAGACCCCTTCTAGGAAAGTTTCCTTAATCGGCCAGTCTCGAGCACACAGGACTGGGTGAGCTTTCAAGACAACAGAAATTGTTTGCCCTGCCAACGTATCTTCACAGTATGGAGACAGGAGGTATTCTGGAACCCAGTCCTGTCTGCAGTCCTTCTGCAAAGGATATGGAAGTGACACGCAACTGGCAAAACTCCAGGTGAAAGGGGGAAAAAAAGTCGAATCAGCAGTTTAAAACTCTTTTTGGTATGTTACCTTCCTTTAATTTTAGATTATATGCATAGAGAACCTGATCTACCCCTAAAAACATGCAGCAGGATTTGCATTAATAAGCCCAATCAGGCACTGGAACTGGAAAAACTCTTTTTAAGTGGATTAAATGACACCCAGGTTTATGAATGAATGATCCTCACGAACCAGGATCTCCAAACACACGTACAGAAGTGACATGTAACAGTGGTCTTGGCAGTTTTGGCAACGGAATCATCTCGGATAGTGTCCGCGTGGCCTCCAGCAGCTCCTGCGGCAACTCCTGTCCTCTGAGAGCCACCGTGAATCCAAAGGCCTGTTTGGTCCGGGGTAAGGAAGTGCCTCTGAAGTCTCACCGCTGCCAAACCTTGCTTTAGAGTCAAGTAGGATGCACTGAATCTGTAACAGGATGGGCAAGTCTAGAAGAAGCCATCATAAAACTATCAAACGCCACAGTGATTTAGCTTGAATTCAAATTAACCCATTTCCTCATTATATCCAGCCCCCTCTGAGAAGTTTATATAGAAACTTCACAGAAATTTTTACTTGGGGTAACTCTAGAAACAGCTTCTAATCCAGTATCTACATGGAAAAGTCAGTTCTCTTCCACTCCTGCTAGCTCTCCTTGTGCTAATGGCCCAGAAAATAAAAGGCAGTCCCAGGCTGGGAAGTTATTTCTGAAAGCCAGCACCTGAAGCAAGTTAAAGGAAAAGAAATCTTTACACTGGGCCTTCAAGTATTGATTTTGAAAGTCAAGGGCTACAGCGTGGCTGTGATAAAGATGCTGCCACCCTTTCCTCGAGGAAAAAGTGAACGGTCAAAAATTAAGAGCCAGAGTAGACTGCATGAGTGAGAGCCAGCCTCTCACAGATACAGCAACTGCCTCAAGCAAGGCAAAAAAGTGCCTGTAAGGGATAAAAAAAAAACAACAACACAAACCTTACAGCTTGCTAAAACATTAGAAGAGTTGCCTGCAACAAGGCTACCTCTCTGCAGCCAAAGGGTGCACCACCTGTATGCTGAAGATTGTGCGTTGAGTCAGTTCCAGCTTTTGCTTATTTTGCTTGTCACCTTTTAGCCACAGGCATTAAAGTTGAAAACGTCACCGAGTTCAGAAACTATTCTATCTGGGCACAGGGAAGGAAAAGAAGTCAAGGGGCAGAGCACTTTGGAGGAAGAAATATAGGATGCTAAAACCTAGGTTTAAATAGCTCTTTTCAAAAGATATAAGCAGCTAGAACTAAGGAAAAGTTAAGTGACTGGAAAGCAAAGAATACAGTAGACACCTAGAAAATGCTGGAGGATTTCGAGGTCTTTGCACTACAGGGAACTAATGCCACCTTGGTGCCATCTGTTACTTCTCACCCCATTGCTAGCTACTGCATGAACAGCGGAAAATTGACTCCTGAGTGAGTGAGATAAGGTGGTGGTTCAGATCTTCACGTTCCCCTCGTGAAGGAGAGTTGAAATTCAGCTAAGGGAGCACATCTGAGCTCACATCTGTAACACACGGTGAGTAACAGCGAGGAGACTCGGGAAAAACTTCACGTTCTGGTCAATTAGTCTTTGGCGAAGCCCAATTGAGGTGAAACACAGATGATGCCCACTGGCTGAGGAGAGTCCCCCATTGAGTCACACAAGCAAACTCAGCAGGAATTTTATCAAAAAATTGGGAAGCCTTGAAAGAAAAAAAAAAAAAAAAAAAAAGGATGTGGGAAGGGGCAGCTGGGTGCGTGTACGCTATGCTGTAAACCAGAGTGTAGGACTGTTGGGTTGAAGCCTCTATGAGTTAAGCCAGGGGTGCCTGAGACACTCTGCTGCTGTAGCTCGTTTCTCTGGCATCAGCTCCAACATTGGTAATAAGAAGTCTGTGAATGCAGCTGCCTCATCTTGGGACCACTCGTATTTTTCCACCAAGACTTCGAAAAGGCCCCAGGGCTTCAGTTTGGTGATGTGCTTCAGATCACCTGAAAACCAGACGACAGACAGGTGAAGTGCAAGACACGGGAAGAGGGCAGCTGAACAGCTAAACACAACAATGAATTCAGAAACCGTTCTGAATAGTTGGGCAG